AAGCTAGAAGAATTATGGAATCTGATTCATATACATTAAAATTTGGTCTGAAAATTAAACTAACCACCTCACTCTTCAGTCTCCTCACTTACATTGTGTTTTTATTATAGCGCCAGATGTATATATCGTAGATGAATAGGACTAAAGAACACTACGTTTTGATAAATTAATCAAACCAAACTAGATGAAATGAAGTCTTAGCCTTTGAACTAACAGATAAACTATTTTTTAACTTATTAAATAGACCTGAAATTCCTGTGTTCGCCTCCTAATAGAGTCATGAATGGGTTCAATTAGAAGATTCTCAAATAGCTGTCTTCTATTTCTTGGATTCTAACTGTTATCTAACTAAAATCAGTCTCTGATGTGGATTTTATCATTAAATGGTCTTCACAATACTCCCATAATAAAGATTATTATTATTATTCATAGAAATATTTAATTATATAGTTTCTTACTTTGCTATTCATCTATCGATAAAAATGAGAATACCACAATAATGCATTTAAATTAAAGTGAAAATATTCATAACTCCGCCTGGAGCCCCTCTGGGCCTACTGCCGGTCCCGAGTTCGGATAAAGGAGGAGGGTTGGGCATGGGGTTAGTGACTCCACCCCGTAGAAAACTAACTCGCTAAAAAAACACTAACCAGAAAAAGTGATTCAAACCATTTAAACTAAGTCCTGGGAGTTAGAATGTTTTCATTTAGAAGAGTTATGACGCCTCATGATGAAAGCTGAGATCCTTCGGAAGTCACGACGCTAATGCCCCTTCTGACAACTAGAGCAACTACTAATATCTCAATACAATGCACATGATCCAAAGTCTCCTAAGTTAGCGGTTAAATTTTTACGTTTAACGATAGGTTTTGATTCACGCTAAAAGACCAAACATATATGGAATTTCGGGTGGAGATGATTTTTAGTTGAAAGATCAGAGCTTACGTCAGAATTTGTCTTAGATTAGTAGTCGCTGAACAATACAGGCCATGAAACTAGAGTATTTTACAATTCTAACTTCATGCAATGAACAAGAATGTCAGTATGGGTTGTGGAGGCCTAAGTTTTTTATTGAGATCATGAACCGATTGACGTTAGACTACCATTGAATACCTGGAAGCACGGAACGGCCGTTTCGTCCTATTGTGGGACTTCACAACAGTGATCATCCACGATCCTGCTCGCCGGATTCGAACCCAGGGGCATGAGTTCGTGAGTGTGCACTGCTGAGGAGTCCCACAATAGGACGAAATGGCCGCTCAGTGCTTCCAGGTTTTCAATGGTGATTTAGCGCCAATCGGTTCATGATCTCAATCAAAAGATTTAGTCTCCACAACCCCATACTGACAGTCTTGTTCATTGCATTGAAGTTAGAATTGTAAAATACTCCGGTCGTACTGAATGGAAATCGTTGTAAATCAAGTTCAGTTGTCTTCCTGATATGTTATATTTGAGGATTTAGAAACCTAAATCACGATAACTATGGATAGAAGTAATCAAGGCGTATGTTATTCTAGTACTTGTTTTGTATAAATAATTGAATCTGTTCAAACTACTAACTATTAGTAAGTAGTATATCCAAAACAAAGCGAGGTATATTAGAGACGATAATCATTATCATAGATTAAATTTAGGTTAAACTGTAGCCCAGTGGGTTTCTATTTTGTTCTGCTTAAATATGTCATGCTCCCTGACCGAAAAGGAATAAAATGTTTTAGATTTTCACATGTACATTTATTATGAGTATACATTACTTGATTAATTGTCCATGAATACGAAACAGACAGAACTACTCGAAATGCTAGTCGAGTATTGACATATCATGTACTTTTAATCACTCACATGTCGTCTCAACGTCATATATTAGGTGGGAAACTATGAATAGATCCAACCACTAGAGGAAGTCTGTCAAAAATTACTTCAATGTTTTAGGCTTAATGTATATTAGTGAAGATTGTAGTATTTTCACAGTTGAAATCATGATTCGTTCTTAGCTAGATCACGATTAGAAACCTTAGTATTAGGCTATTCAGAGATAAGCAATAACAACCTCGCATCTCAGATTCACAGCTAGGATCTTCGATCTTTCGTGATGTATATGCCTAATTTTACACCCTGCTTATGGTGGATAACTGTCTTACATCGTATATAAGTGGACTCCACTAGTCATGACTCTTAACTAGAATTACTCCTAACAATTTCAAGCGTTCTAGGAACTGTGAAAATCATCTTTGTTCCATATTTTATGTACTGAAAGATAAAGCCCATTCATAATTGAATTCTTCACAGAAGATTGATAATAGTTTACTCAAATTTGATTAACATTTTCTTGTTCTATACTTTATTTGGATCTATTCAATTAATCAACTAACAGCTCAATATTAAAAATGAAATGATGTTTTTATTATTTTTTGTATGTAGATGAGTATAACTTTACTGTTATGTTAAACTACATATTGAAAACGTTACCAACACAAAACAATCTGGATTATAGATTCAATTAAATTCCAATCGTATTATGTAATATATATATATATATATAGGTTCTTCAAGGACATTTAATATTCATATTCTCCTTATATACGTTCATTTTCAAATTACATTTCAAGTAATGTTCAATTCAGTAATATCAATTCTGTACTAGATATATAATTCAATTAGTTACCTTTTGTTTTTATTAAAACAAATTGAATGTATTTGTTATAACGGTTTGGTTTCCCACGTTTACACGTATGGGGTGTTAATTTACCTTAAACCAAATATCTACACTAGATTCCCTCCCAGTATCTATTCTACAGGACGTCAACACAACTCAGATCAAGAACATGTGATTAACCTGACCAAAACGTCAATATATTTCCACACCAAAAACCCGACACAATCCAACAACAATGAACAATCAATAATAAGTGAGTCGTGATAATAAAAAGGATAGGGGAATATATAACTAATCTGACACCTATCAGACTATTTACATATCTGACTAAGCAGACAACCAACCATTATCATTCTTGACCATACATCAGTACTTTAAATAATATTCATTCTTGATGAGTTCAAATAACAAGTTCATAACCTTACTTTACTAATTTCTAATTTGGAATATTAAACTATCATAATTTTACATTTGTATTGTGATGTGTGCTACTAATATCGAGAGATATAAATAATATATATCATCAATCGAAAGTGAAATACCTGACAGCAGAAGGTTAAGACGTTCGAAGAAAAGGGAATAGGAATAGAGAATGATTGGTGGGGAAACGAAGGAACAATGATGTTTGGGACAATTAATTGATATTACGCAAATAAAGTATTTACTATATGGTTCTCAGATTCTACCAAGGCGTTCTGTAATTGTGTATTCAAATACATTTGATTGTTCCGCTTGTTTACTTGTTGACTACAGTAATATTGAAAATTATTATCGATTACTTTCTTCATTAGAAAGAATTGCATTTTGTAGTTTGGTTCATTTATCGATTAATCTTTATTCTTGTTTTATTTTTTCTCCTATTTTTCAGCTATTTAGTTGCTTTCACATATGCTACTCTGCATGCTGTCTCTTAGAATCATTATAGTCTATAAATATTCACATAGAAAAAATAAATGGTAATCCATTTTTTTAAAATAATTTTTGGCGTGACTGATTTATGGACGAGCCAATCAGAAGCATTTGAGTGCGTTCAAAGTCACGGCTCCAATTTCAGTACTTGATGCTCTCGTACGATCGGTTTACAGCGGATTTTAGATAAGACGTGATAATTGAGCGGCTATAACAAATGAGATTACTAAGAAGTCCCTTTATTTGTGACTGTGGTAATCAAATGACTGCTGTAATGTGTACAGAATATCATGATGAGGTAGTCTTTCGATGTTGTTTATGTTGAAAGAAGAACTCTAAAAGAACAGGAAGTTTTCCCGCTCGATTCCGATTGATACTAAGATAAATCATGATAACTGTTACGAATTGGATAATGAAAGCACCAGTAATACTGTGTGTAACATTTCAAGACATTACTGAAGCTTCAGCTGTCCAGTGGTATGAGTATTGTCGGGATACATGTGCAATAAAAGCAACAAGCTTGCACGAGTCTTCTGGAGGAGTCGAGAGAATCGTTGAAATAGACGAAACAGTAGTCAGGAAACGAAAATTTAACAGAGGAAGTAATATTAAAGAAGACTGGGTAAATAGCACTTCCATAAATATACTCCACATGTCCGTGGAATTTACAACAGGTTATCCCAAAACGGACGGGTCAGAAACCGACTGGCAACGACAATAATACCAGTTATATGGGAATATATTCAACCAGGCACAACAGTATATACAGAAGATTGGAGGGCGTACAGATGCCTTCATAGACTTGGTTATGTGCATCATGCTGTTATTCACAAACGCCATTTTGTGGACTCTACAACCGATATGTGGTCGTGGCTGAAGGAATTTTTACGACCTTATTAGAGCTCCAAACCTTGACTATTATGGAGCCATATATATGAGCTCCTTTACTGTATGCAATACGATTTCAGAAACTGTGAACATCTTTCTAACCTTGAAAAAGTTTTTAAACCATATAAAAGAAGTGTATCCTCTTTAATTCTTTGGCTTTGTATGATATATTTTTACTCCATATTAACTGTTTTTTGATTGGCTAATCGTTTCGAAACTATAATTTACTGACGAGCCAATCAGAAGCGTGTGGGGGATTTCAAGGTCACGGCGCAAAATTCAGTACTCAATGACTACACCCATAAATTATAGTTTTGCGTAATTTTCCTACTCAATTGAAATATCAGAAATTCACATTCAAGCCAAGATATTTTTTATGAAAAAAAAAGAATTACACAAGAGTTCAATATACAAGTTGATATTGAATAATGATCATTGAAGTTAAATGAACAGAATAGAAAGATCAAATAGAGCTATGAGATTAATCATAAAAGAAGATAAATTCATGAAAAAGAACAGATTTTAAATCATTTCATTAATATTATTATTATTCTTCAGATCCTCCACTAATTTCAGATAGATTATCATTGATATCAACTCCATATGCTTGTAATTCATCTTTATTTGGTTTAATATATTTACCATTATAATATGATTGAACTTTAACTTGTTTTAATGTTTTATTTAAATAATCCATAATATTTGTATGTGGCATATGAGTTTTTAAACCTAAATTATCATATGTTAATATAAATGATTTTTGATTAGATTGTTGTTGCTGTGGTTGCTGTCGCTGTCGCTGTTGTTGTTGTTGTTGTTGTTGTTGTTCAATGAATAATTTTAATGGTTCTATACAACGTTGAATATATTCATTTGTACCACGTGGATCATGTAATTCATATGAATGAGGTGGTTCCCAAAATTTTAATTGATTTTCTGTTATATTAGTTTTATTTAATTTCATTTCATCTAATAACCATGTTATTGTATCTGGGGTAAACATTTCATTAAATGTTCGTTGAATTTTTTCTTTACGTATTAATTTAACTTTTTTTACTGTATTTGGATCAATAAATACTTTAATTGCTTTCCATATACCATGAAAAAATGTACTATGATTAATTAATATAAATTTATATAAAGTTTCTGGATAACAATCAGCAAATGTTTGTACAAATTTTTTACCAATTTTTGGATTACAACATGCAACAGTTAAACCTAATTGAATAAATGAGATAAAAAAAAACGATTTTTTTTCAATATAATGAAAGGGGGGTTTGTGAAGATTATAGTTATTTTGATAGTTGAATTCATGAATTACATGAAGTTAGACCATCATGTAAAACCTGGAAGCACTGTTCCGTTCTAGTATAGGATAGCTCAGTGGTAGTACGCATCCTACACATGGGACTAAAATTCAGAATCTTTGTTTTTGCATGTAAATACTTAATCTTTGAACCATTGAGATGAGCTCAAGTTCCACGTGTAGGATCATGGATGCGTATTGCTGAAGTATGTAATAAGGAGAGAAATCTGTTGTGATATCGTTAATTCATAATGATATTGTAAACGAGAACACAAATGGAGACAATAGGAATTACAAAATATCTCAGTAAAATCTGAAAACCATACAATGAATATTTCATTTGCAAAATGTCAATCAATCATCTCAGATTTCATCGTTCCTTTGTTTTCAAACCAATCATTCTCTGTTTTCGTTCTCTTTTTCATTCTCCGGTTATCTTAATCTTCTGAAACCAAACATTTCACTTTTGATTGATGATATATACTACTTATATCATCAGTAGCACACACCACAATATCATATGAATACTAAAGAAAACTTATGAAACATTCATTTGTTTTAATAAAAATTGTATTTTTAATAGTCGAAATCATGAGTCAATTGAAGCTAGACCACCATGGAAAACCTGGAAATTACTAAAATCTCCACAAAACCCCTTCTGATAATAATCATCTGTTCACTAGTGAGTGACTTCAAGATATACTCCTGGAGTTCTAGTGAGAAGTCGTGACCAGTGTAGATCAACCTAGTGTGTTGTGAGATATCAACTCACTGAAGACAATGGTGGTGGTTGCGCAACTTTGTGGACTGGTTGAAGTTAGACATTAACACTATTGGATACCGGCTTGGTGGTCTAGTTGGTTAGGCGCCTGGCGCGAGACTGGTAGGCCCTGGGTTCGAGTCTCGCGGGGGGCAGGGTCGTTGTTGCCCACTGCTGAGGATTCCCATACTATGACGAAACGGCCGTCCAGTGCTCCCAGGTTTTCCATGGTGGTCTAGCTTCAATTGACTCACGATTTAAACTATTGAAATTACTAAAATCTCCACAAGACCCCTTCTGATAAAAATTGTATTTCTAAATTGTGGATCAATAAAGATTAGTTCTTTTGATGTTTGTTTAAAATGAATTCTTAAATAATTCTATACTCCTCAGAGCATCGCATTGGACAGACTTTTGAGAACTCCTGGTTATATTTTGAAACAATAGAAATATATATAAAACAAATGTTTTATCAAAAGCGAGGAGCACCTAGAAAGTTTATAACATTATAACATTTTTGATTGATTCTAATGTTGCAAATTTCTAGAAGTTTTATGAAATAAATGGATTGTAGCTAACAGAACATTAATAGCTTCCTATTTAAGACTCGTCAGCTGAATACACTCACATTCCCACCATTGATGTTCACGATGAAATTTGAACCCAGTAACGTTCACTTGAATTGCTCAACGCGTTATCTAATAGGTCAATGGTCTAGATAGTCACTAACTTATGCTACGAATGTGATGTTTATTGTGATTCTTATTACATTAATGTTGTTTAGGAAAACCTGTATTATCTTTAGGTCGTACATTATAATCTTACCTGTACAATCAATAACAAAGACCAATGAATTCACTGAGGTTTGTATACTTCGTTTTGCATGTTCGATAAGATAAACCATATGGCAAACAACATCGTCTGGATTATTTTTCAGTGTTTGACATTGAGCAAAGCAAGCATACATCAGTGGTCTACCTTCACGATCGAACCCAACTTGTCGCTTATCAAAATAATAGCAAAAAATAAAAAAGGTAAAAAAAATAAAACGATCTAAGATATCAAGGTTTAATTGGATGGTAATTTTATTTAGCAGTTTAGGGTTATGGAGACTATTAAGTTTTTGATTGAGATCATGAACCGATTGATATTAGACCACCATTGACAATTTGGAAGTATTGGACGGCCGTTTCGTCTTATTGTGGGACGTCGGCTCGGTGATCAGAGGTTGAGCGTTCGCGCGCAAGACTGAAGGCTCTGGGTTCGAATCCCGCTGGAAGGACCGTGGATGTGCAATGCCGAGGAGTCCCACTATAGAATAGGTTTTCAATGGTGGCATAACATCAATCAATTCATGATCTCAATCAGAAAAGTTTATTTGGATCTATTCGAGTGTCAGAAAGTCTTTAATTTATTCTGTTTCTTTTATTATTTGTTACTAAGCCAGTCTATAATGAATTTATTTCCAATCTTTGTTTCCCCATGGATTGCTCAGGACAGTTCTATGGAGAATGATGATGAGCGGTCTATGCTCCTTCACGAGGGGTAATAGTCATAAGTAAGTAAGTAAGTAATATTTCCTCATCCACTTATGTTGTTATCTGATTGGCTGTTCTCGTTTTCAGTTTAATTCTGTTATATGTAGGGGTCATATTTATTATTTGGTTTCATTTGAGTACCTGACTCCCCAGGAGGTTATTGTTAAAGTGTTTTATACTAGTTGTCCAGTCCATAGAGTTGGCCTACATCCAGTTTCGTATTAGAATAATATCCAAATCGTTTTTAATTCGGAATACGCATAGGGTATCTGTAAACAGAATATAAAAACACTTTGTTTGGTGTTATATGTCAATAACAACAACAACAATAGACTTAATCATCTAATTTGATTGTTATATCACTAAATAATAGACTGTAGTAGTGTCCTATTTGCAATTAATTACAGTTACGTGTACCTACTTGCTTCCAATATTAATGTTCACACTGAGGTTTTAACTCAATACTTATCACTTCCGACAAATAAAGAATAATCCACTGAGTTAACGAATTCAGATATCAATCAACTCGTTGACATACTAAGCAAAATCATTAACGCCAATATAAATAAAGATCTTATCTGCTTTATATGAACACTGATCATGGTGTCCAACGTAACAATAAACGCCTCAAAATCAAATAATAGTTTAGCGCAAACAATCTCCCAAAAATGTTGTAAAGTACACAAACAAACAACAATAATAACTCACAACTGAATGGAATCCTGGTGTTTCATGACACCATTTACATTGAATTGTCAATGGTTGATATTCTCGACGCCATTCTACAGCTGTTTTCAATTGTTTAAAAGCATCTTCAACAACATAATTTCTTGCCACAAGAAATCGAGTTAATCTTAATAATTAGTTGAGGAGAAAAAGAGTAAAAATAAATATTAGGTGTATAAAGTAGATTGTAATTTTCTTGATTGAAAGAATTCAATCAAGATGATATAACAATGGTTCTCATCAGGTAATTGAATTGTGTAAAAAATATTAGTTCGACAAGACATTGATTATAACCTGTTATATCTAGATGCTTATATTCTTGATATACCACGTACAACTCGGCACTTGAACGCTAGAACCTTTCCAAGTCGCAAATGAGAAGACAGAAGACTAGTGAAAGGAATGTTATTCCAGACAGTGTTAAATTATAATACAAAATTGTCAGGTATTTATGGTTTTATTAAAAACGAAATTATCATTATAGTTATCTAATCCTCGAACAGAATATCGTTACAAAAGATGACTGGATGGAATATCTTCGGCTCTTTCTAAGCTTCTTAAGGCTTCCTCGAGTTCAACGGTAGACCGCCCTCACATAACTCAAAGAGATTAGTGATAGTGTATGTGAGTGTAATGTTAGAGGTTAAACTTTAAAATCTCTAAAGGAAGATTCATCTATTCATGATAAAACCATGTTTAGATCATTTAACAATAACAGTATTGAGATTTAATGTTAGAAAAAAGGATATAATTTTTCTAAATGATTATACGATTGATCAGTAAAAGAGAAGAAAATACTTGGAAGTGCGATCGTGTACATTGTTTGAGAATCCTTGTATATTCATTATGTTTGAAATGAATTAGTTTGAATTGAATGAATAAGTACGGAAACCAATAGGATGGATAACTGAATAATAACGCATTTTTGTTATTACTTACTTGCTCCTGTTACCGCTCATGTAAAAGCATAGCCCATCCACTAGCATTCTCCATCTAAATACTGTTCCAGACAATCCTTTACGGTTATTTCCAGTTGCTATTTATCCTTTTTATGTCTGATTTCAATTCCCGATGCAGCGTGTTCTTTGGTTTCCCTCTTTTTGTTTCGATAAAAATTCCAAGTAAGTACTTGCCTCGTGATGCAGTTTTATGGTTTTCGTAAGGTATGTCCCACCCACCACTTTCAACGTCTGTCCCTAAGTTTACTGCTGCTACACTAGATGTCTTCATCTGCATTTGTTCGCATGCATTGAATTGAAAATCTAGATCATCTGTGAAGTTTTAATCTTCTAGTTGATTCCGAGCTATCCACCGGATTAAGTGCTTCCCCTCAGATGTGGAGGTATTCATAATCCAGTCAACCATCATAAGAGAAAGGGTGAGAGTAAGCAACTTTGTCTAACTTCGGTTTTCACTTGGAATGCATCTATTAGATATCCTCTCTTTTATTAATTATTAGATGTAGTAAATTGAATTAGATTGTTATTAATATAGGATGTTTGAAGGGATTATTTATTTTGTAGTTGATATCAGTAAATATAACTAAACAATCAAAGGGAGCTAGTGAGCATTAATTAGATATTCTATTCTAACACAGCACTTCTCAATAATGAGTAACTAACACTCCATCAGTGAAATTAAAAAGTTTAAACCAAGTAACCTACACTGATTTTGTTTTGTTTACTTGAATCTTTCAATTCATGTTTAGGACTGCAATAGATCAGTTACTTATTGGTATATGTGTATACTGTGCATATTACCTCAATATTACTTTAATTCACAAGTATTCTAAACAAAGATGAATAGTGGCTACCATTAGAATCTATCATCCAAATGATTCAATGTAATAAATACCAAGTGAATATCATTAAATAAAAAACTAAAACTTACGTATCCTCACATGTTGCAAAATCAGGTTCATTTAGTAAAGGAGTAAGATTTGATTGAACTAATTGATAAAGTTCTTTTTTAAGATTCATGATTTGTTCTGGTGTCAATTCAGTTTTACAAGATTTTCGTAAAGATGATGTTTTTGACGAATTTTTTTTATTCATTGTTTTATGATGATTGTTATTATTATTATTATTACGATTTTATTGATGATTGTATTTTCTTATAAATTGAATTTACAGATTTAATGTTTAGAGGTGGAAGGTGAATTGAAGTTTATATCTGTAAAAGAAAATTAATTTTTTTAAAACAAACATTATAGATAGATAGATAGATAGATAGATAGATGGATGTGTGGATAGATAGATAGATAGATAGATGTGTGGATAGAGAGATAGATGTGTGGATAGATAGATAGATAGATAGATAGATAGATAGATAGATAGATAGATAGATGGATGTGTGGATAGATAGATAGATAGATAGATGTGTGGATAGAGAGATAGATGTGTGGATAGATAGATAGATAGATAGATAGATAGATAGATAGATAGATAGATAGATGGATGTGTGGATAGATAGATAGATAGATAGATGTGTGGATAGAGAGATAGATGTGTGGATAGATAGATAGATAGATAGATAGATGTGTGGATAGATAGATAGATGTGTGGATAGATAGATAGATAGATAGATAGATAGATAGATAGATAGATAGATAGATAGATAGATAGATACTTACTTACTTACTTACTTACTTACTTACTTACGCCTGTTACTCACAATGGAACATAGGCCACAGACCAGCATTCTACAACCCACTCTATCCTCAGTCTTCCTTTCTAGTTATATCCAATTTTTGTTCATTCTTCTCATGTCTGTCTCCATTTCTCAACGTTATGAGTTCTTTGATCTTCCTCTTCTCCTTTGGTCTAGAGGATTCCATGTGAAAGTTTGTCTTGTGACACAGTTTGGTGTTTTCCTCAATGTGTGTCCTAACCACTTCCAATGGTTCTTCCTGATTTCTTCCTCCACTGGAATCTGATTTGTTCTATCCTATATTAGGTTGTTGCTGATAGTGTCTGGCCAACGGATCCGAAGTATTTTGTGTAAACATCTGTGAACAAACACTTGTATCTTTTGAATGATAGCTTTTGTAGTTCTCCAGGTTCCCGCCCCATACCGTAGAATTGTCTTGACATTTGTATTGAAAATTCTGACGTTGGTGTTGGTTGACAGACAGTTGTTTTGAGTTTCAGATGGTCCTGAATTTTAGATATGCTGCTCATTCTTTGTCGATCCGTGCCTTCATATCTGCATCAGATCCACCGTGTTCATTAATGATGCAAATGCCTTTACATCTTCCAAATCTTCTCCGTCAATTGTGATTGGATTGGTGCATGTTGTGTTGTATCGGCGAATCTTGTTTTTCCCCTTGTGTATGTTGTGACCTACTGCTACTGAGGCTACTGCTACACTCATCGTCTTCTCCTGCATTTGTTGTTGTGTGTACGATAGAAGAACCAGATCATTCGCGAAGTCTAGATCGTCCAGCTGCATCTTAGATGTCCATAATAAATAGGTGGTTGTCTCGTTTGTACAATCCATAGTTTTTATCAGAGTTAGCTTCAATGTTAAAGAGACAAATGACGGATGGAAATGTTGATTAATTCTAAAAGATTGGGTTGTATTTATTTAGTCATTCAAGAGAATTATTGTTATTCAATGTGATAATATTCATCACAATAGATATTATTTTAAATTTACTCTACTTATGAGTAGTATAATTCTTTTCACTAAATATCATTGAATCATATAGGATTTTATAACTTGGTCGTCTGATGCGAATCAAGTTCTTTTCCTAAACAACATAATCTAGATATCACAAGTATCATAATAGTTCAATTATTCTTGCATAAATTTAGAATCTTCAAATAACCATGTGCTACTAAGTAAAAAGAAAATATAATTTTAAGATATTTAAATATAAATTGAATTTGTTTTTCTAGTCAGTTGGTGGAAATTATCCTCAGGAATATTTAAACATGCGTATACAATTGACTCGAGAACTATCGGCATGAAGTTCTCAATGTACATCAACTATATTTAGGCTTTACATAGTCTAGTTTCATATCAGTGGTATTGACTGATATCACGAACTCTCAATTAACTCAGTTGATAATGTACAGTTTATCAGATTAACACTTTGTTAAATATTCTGTTACCAAGAATGATGTATTAGTTTTAAATTAGATGGAAAAGTAATTGGTAACTATATTTTAAAATATGCTTATATAAAGCAAAAATAAGTTAGATGGTAAAATTTATATACTTTAATAACCTTATTTCTTGATTATCATATCACTGTATGTCGTTCTATCGATACATCACCCCACCCCACCCCACCCCACCCCGCACATTTCATGTCATTTTGATGATGACATATTTGAATAAGAAAAATTTCATTTCAGTATTATTTCCGGTCTAAAAACTATAAATAATATTTCTTTGTAGCATAGTTACAATTTTTTTCAAATAACGGAAGTAATTAGAACAAAAAATGTTGGTCCTGGTATATTTGTATCTTTATTTTAATGATCATTATGATCAAGATTAATCTAATACCCTGATAAGTCAATTATTTAAACAACAGTTCAATATGTACTAGTATCTCTTCATAAAAATGAATTTCTTCAAGAGTAAGTGAAATATATATTTATGTCGGTCAAGTTTGGATTAAAAAACGGTAATAAATGTCAAGATAGTTCTACGGTATGGGGCGGGAACCTGGAGAACTACAAAAGCCATCATTCAAAAGATACAAGTGTTTATTCACAGATATTTACACAAAATACTTCGGATCCGTTGGCCAGACACTATCAGCAACAACCTACTATAGGATAGAACAAATCAGATTCCAGTGGAGGAAGAAATCAGGAAGAACCATTGGAAGTGGTTAGGACACACATTGAGGAAAACACCAAACTGTGTCACAAGACAAACTTTCACATGGAATCCTCTAGACCAAAGGAGAAGAGGAAGATCAAAGAACTCATAACGTTGAGAAATGGAGACAGACATGAGAAGAATGAACAAAAATTGGATATAACTAGAAAGGAAGACTGAGGATAGAGTGGGTTGTAGAATGCTGGTCTGTGGCCTATGTTCCATTGTGAGTAACAGGCGTAGGTAAGTAAATAAGTAAGTAATACATAGACTAGAATTAGAAAATGTGAACTAATACATTGTAACTGAATAATGTGAAAGCATTGTGGTTATTTGAAGGCCTGAAATCTGTACATCATTGATGTCCATTAACTTGTTCACTTTATAAATACTACTGTATTTACTTTAAAATTGCAAACTGTGTGATTTCTCCACTTTTCCAGGTTTTGAGCCTTTATTGTGGCTATCAGACTGATGTTAGTTCTTGGCAAAAATGTATCTCTGAAAATGTGCACATTACCACAACTTACACAACTAAACGATACTGAAAATAGATCTGTCATTGGTGAGTAGGTGATTATCAAGTGGAATTATTAAAAAATTTCATTAAAATCATGAACCAATTTAGGATAGAACATCATTGAAAAACTGGAAGCATTTAAAGACCTTTTCGTCCCAGTATGTGACTCCTCAGTATCGCGCATCAACGAATGTTCAAGCAGAAATCATTCGTGAATTGATTCAAGTTAAATAAGTTAACACCGTTGGATGCCTGCTCTGTGGTTCAAAGTTTAAGCGTTTGGGCGAGAGACTGTAGGTCCTGTGATCGTTCTTCGTATAAGGAGTCGTTGATGCACCTTGGCGCACTTCTGAAGAGTCCCGTACTTAGATGAGACGGCTATCCAGCGCTTCTATGTTTTCAATGGTGGTCTAACATAAATTTGCTCATGATTTCACTGAAATTCAACAATCTTCACAACCCCATACTGGATATTAAAGAATCTCTTTATAGACATTGAAAAAAAGATAATAAAATTTTAAGAAATAACTGTTTCTAAACTGCTAAACCAGCGTTACAAACAGTGGTGTGAAAGTACTTCACTACTTCAAACATAATGAAGATACATTATTTTCAAACCTGCAGTTCTTATTCATAATTCGTCTACCAGCATGTACAATTGTTATTACCTCTTAACATAAAATTTAACTGGATTTTTTCAAAAGTCACATATTTGTTCTTCTTTGAATAAATAATAGACAACCGTTGGAAATCTGGTAGCGCCATGTAGCTATCTTGTCGTAGTGTGAGACTCCATAGCATTGTGCACCCATGAGCCTACACCCGAGACTGGAACCCAGAAATTTCAGTTTCATGCATGAACGTTCATTCTTTAGATCATTGATATGGTATCCAACAACGTTAATGTCCAACTGCAATCAATTCACGGAATTGTGTGATCATCTTCCACTACCTGTCGTGGTTGAACTCCATTGACCAACGATTCTCAATAGGATTACAGGAATGATATCTTAAAGCTTTCCCCTAGTGAGTTCGGTAATCTGGAGGTTAATCGTTTATAGGTTCTGAATTCGAATCCCCCCCGGAGGGTCATGGATATGCACTGCTAAAGTATCCTATACTAGTATGAAACAGCTGTCCAAGGCTTCTAAGTTTCCAACAGTGGTCAAGTTAATATCAGTTAGTGATCTATAACTACGAAAATTCCACAAGCTCTACAATTCACTCTATACTACGAAAAAGACCATAATAATTTGTTCGTTATTGATCGATTCAAAAGATTACAGGAAATGATAATAAATTTTAAATGACCATAGAATATTTGTTAATTAGTCTAGCAGTTTCATATTAGATATTAGCTGAATAGGAATCTGTTTGTTAATCGATGATATAATTTTTTTTGCAAAATGTCTAATCCTTGAATTCATGCGTCACTCACTGGTGACTAAATTCAAGATAGATTTCTTGGAGTTCTAATGAGAAGCCGTGACCAATGAAGTCTGATCCTTGTCGGGTGTGAGACAGTTATCCACCTCAGACAATGAATGAAAGGTTTTGTATGATTATGGATCGACTGAAGTTAGACATTAACACGGTCGGATGCCGGCTCAGTGGTTAAGAGTTGGGCGTTCGCATGCGAGATCGAAGGCCCCGTGTTCAAGTCCCACGTGAGGGATCTTGGATGCGCACTACTGAGGAGTCTCATATTAGGACGAGTAAATTATTGTTTCAGCACATTTTACACATATTTTTGTTAAGTATTTATAAGATGGAAATTTCTATT